TAGTCATTTAAAAATACATTTATATGCCACAAAACACTATATATATATATATATATATATTTCTGGGGTATTTGGCAACTCGCTGGGTAAATATTGGACAGAACATATAGATATTGATTAATCTTCCTTTATATTATAATATTATTTGCTTGTATATATTTTAGCATTTCAAATTTGTATTTTCTAAAGATATATACACACACGTTATCAAGTTATGGAAATACTTCGTCTGCAATTTTCACACGCACAACTATCTGCATATACAAATAAAACAATGTTCATATGGGATGATTTTCAGAGTTGTGTTGCTGGTTTCTTGGGGTCTGATAGTGTTGCTGAGGTTTTAGTCAGCATGTTCACTGCTTATGGCTGAGTCTTAAGTATTTAATTAGTGCCAGCCATGGCTAATCTCTCTCTTCAGCACACACACATAAACACACACGGGCACGCACACACACACACTTCAACATGTGACCCCATCACCGGTCACTACAGGATTACCCAATCTCTCTAGCATGCTTAAACACATAGCCTGCCCTGTACAGAGGAGGACTTGTCACCCAGAAGTCAAGACTGCTTTAAATATGTAGTGTAGTTTTGCTGAACAGTTCTGTGCTCTGTGTGTCCAATGTGTAAGATATTTAACTGCACACCACATGACATATTTATAACCTAGCTTTGAATTTGTATGCATAAATAAAATGTGACCTATGCAAATAAGGTCTTAATATATTAGTCAATAAAAATGTTTAGTCAGCCTAAAATTAAATGTAGCCTATGTGCATGTTTTAAATCAGGGATCTTCACCAGAAGGTGATCCTCATGGGTCCTGATACTTAAAGTTTGACTATAAACTAAAAAAAAAAAAAAAAAAAAAAAAAAAAAAGCCTACGCAGTTCGATTTTTTTTTCATGAACATATCAGTGGGGGTCCCTGGGGGTCATCTCTATCACCTCTTCCACTAGAGGGCAGCCTTTACCGTAAACGTGCAACGAGATGTTGTTGATATTCATAGTTCGCATTTATGCAAACATGAATGCACTTTTATGATTATTTTATGACTTGCAAAGATTTGTTTGTCAGTTGACGAGAGAGAGAGAGAGAGAGAGAGAGAGAGAGAGAGAGAGAGAGAGAGAGAGAGAGAGAGAGAGAGAGAGAGAGAGAGAGAGAGTGTGTGTAGAAAACTTGATTCACAGAGTTGTTCACAGTTAGAGAATGCGAATGGATTAGGCTATGCGCTCCCTCTAGAGGACAAATTGAATATATTTTCCTCCTTTGATACACAAACACTTGACATTGACATTTTGTGATAAATTGTCAAAATAAGAGTAGGCTACTATGACTTTAATGAAAACCGACTGAAAAAAATAATATATATTATAAAATAAATATAAATAATTTATTTATTTCTAAATATATATAATTTATTTTTGTTTATTTCTTTAATTATTTTTTTTTCAGTCTGTTTTTTTTTTCACTTTTCATAAAAGTCATAGTAGCTTACTCTTATTTTGACAATTCACAGGAACAGAAGCAATATTTTTTTTAGCGGCACGTTTGGATTTCGCTTCACAGCTGAAGAAGTGACTGACATCCACGTGGATTAACGGAAAAGAGGAAACGCATCCAAATCATCGGTAAGCATTTCAGAGAAGCAAATCATTTTGATCTCATTATGGTTTAATCTTGTAATCCTTCGGATAAAGAATTAAGGCAATGAATAAGATAAAGGTTTTTTGCTTGTCTGGGCAATTTTTCATTGTTCTTGGCATTTACATTTGCTACATAGGCCTACTGTAACTGAGGAGAACGCCTTGAGATGAAACATCTCGTTTTCGAGGGTGTCCTCGAGACAAAGACAGCACATACATTCACTCATTGAAGCTCTAATGTTACCTCATCCTGCCTCGTCTTGCCCACCAACTCATTGGAAACAATGAGTCAAGCCAAAGGCCCAGATATTTAAGCTAATCAACTTGTACAAATTGAGTATGATCTAGGAATTTGAGTTAAAGATTGTTATCTTGATTAATTGAAGCTGATCTGGTGGTAGACCAATATGCTATATGACTTTTTCTTATTCAATATAAGATGGTTGGATAGCAGTTGAATAGCATTAAAGTTAGATTGCAATGACGAACTGTATCACTGTATCATAAATGGACACAACAGTCTGAGCAAATTAGAGGAAGATCATTGATAAATAAAGAAAATAGAAGCAAACGTGGTTCTTTTATCATATCTACATCATATTGTTTTTTGTCACACAGAGGACAATGCTGATCAGCACTTTGGAGGAAATTGAGGTGTCACCACAAGAGGGCGACTCCACAATTCAATTAAAATTTATTGTATAATGCTTTTCACAATACATATTGTTTCAAATCATCTTTACAGAAAGTGCATTTCAGAAATGCACATAGAAAAAATAAAGTTAGTTAATCATGTAGGCTAGTAATTTAGGGTATAACATATCGCCGGCGTTGAGTCATTATGTGAATGCTTGGCTAAAGAGATGCATCTTTATCTAGTTTTAAACTGGGACAGCAAGTCTGAGCTTCGAACAATATGAGGAAGGCTTTTCCAGAGTTTAGTAGCTAAATGTGAGAATGCCCTCCCTCCTTTAGTGGACTTTGATATCCTAGGAATGATCAGAAGCCTCAAATTTAGTGATATTAAAGAACGTGATGGATTTTAGGGTGATAGAAGGTCCATTAAATACACAGGAGCTAGACCATTTAGGGCTTTATAGATCAGTAGTTATACTCTGTAACTGATACGGAAATTAATAGGTAACCAGTGTTGAGATGATAAAATTTGGTGTTGTATGATCATATTTTCTTTTGTTTGAAGTACTTGTGCTAAATGTTACGGTCTTAGATGTAAGAAAGAAATCCCTATTATCTCTAGCCTTGGCTACTGTATATAGACCTCCAGAGCCCTATGCTGATTTTCTAAAAGAGTTTGCAGACTTTCTCTCAATAAAGCAATAATTATTAGAGATTGTAACATACAAGTAGATGACACAAATGATGAGTTAGGGGCTGTATTTACCGATTTATTAAACTCCTTTGGGCTCAAGCAATATGTCAGTGGCCCCACTCATCGTCTAAATCATACACTAGATTTAATTATATCATATGGAACCAATCCAACCGATATAGATATTATACCGGAAAGTGATGATGTCACTCACTGATCATTACATGGTCACATTACATGATAACTTCAGCAGTACATAGCTTACTATCTACTGCTGAAATGTGTCATTTTATTATAATATTACCAAGTGGCAGCAAATATATTGAGAATAGCAGAGGGCCTAACACCAATCCTTGCGGCACTCCATAGTCTACTGACGTTATCTTCGATTTTTTTTTTTTTTTCCCCCCCCCATTTTCACAGGTAATGGTCTAAACCAGCTTAATGTTCATAAAGTTTGTACCCTGTAGGCAATAGACTTGACTTGGACTTATCAACATCTTCATGTTACTCATACAATATTGTTTGTCTCAGATAGTGTTGCTTTGCATGCATTTATATTGACATTAATCATTACTTGTCATTTGTTCGGCTCTCAGTTTTAATGGTCTTTTGGGATGCCATAGCAAAGGTTCTAGGTTTACGAAAACTCATTGATCTTACAGTAAAAAAAAATAAAAAATAGGGCTGCGTAGATTACTTAAATTTTAGTCCGTTTCTAATTCCAAATTAAATGATAAAAATCCATTATAATCTGACTGACTAAGATTACTTTTGACCCAACTCGTTTATCACATTGATTTGAATAGAATAATCTTGTACCATATTAATACAAAGAGAAAGAAAATGTATTCCATTTTTTATCAACAACATGAAGTGGATTTGAAAAGAAATTGCATCTGGGTTTCCCATACTGGGGTAAATTGGAATCAGTTACCGATGACTACGAGATGACTATGAGTTTACCTTTCCCTTAATTCTCTTTGCATGAGAATGTTAAAATGCAGGATCAAATTCAGAAAATTACAGCAAAGAATATTATTTGTCTGGTCTGCGTTCCTCACCTGTGTTGCAGATTGATGTCATCACTCATCACCTGCTCTGGCAGTTGCGTTGTCTTTCATTAACTTTTATTATTGCTTAGATACTTAAAGATGAAGAATAATATAACTGATTGAATACCAATTGAAACTGTATTCAGAAAACATCTTAATTTATTTAATCAAAATAAATAAGAAATATACAACACATACATGCATTCAAATGCATCTAAATACAGCCTTACACCCGACCCTGCACCATGATTATCAGTTTGTTCTTATCAAATCAAGACTCCTGGAAGCTCTAAGGACGATCATTTACAAGGCAGCTTTTTGGGAAATTTTGTGTGATGAAATGCTGGGTAACAAATTTGTACAATGAAAAATGGAAGCCATCTGAGTGCTGACCATCCCACTCCATTGGTGAGAAAATCTGTCCTTTAACCTGTTAAATATAGTATTTGTTTGCTACAAAGGAGGACATACTACTCACCATCTTGTTTCATCTCAGTATGTACTCTCTTAATATCAGGCTTCTTTAGGCTAGATGTTTTTTGTAGGCTTCTGTACACAGCAAAAAAATGCTTTTCTTACTTGGTATTGTTATCTTAGTATTTATGTCTTGTTTCCAGTCTAAATATAAAAAAAAAAAAAAAAAAAAAAGTCAAGATACATTTGCCAGAAAAGTAAAATGCTGTAAGATATTAATAAATCACAATTGTTGAGAAAAATAATCTTAATTAAAACAGAAAGATACATTTTCTTTAGATAATAATTTTTAGCAACAACTCACTAATACTTTGATTTATTTCCCCGGAAAACAAAACAATATCTTGGCCTTTCACTCATCTAGTAAATGCATCTTGATATAATAATTTTTAAATATTTGGACTGGAAACAAGACAAAAATAAGAAAATGTATTTTTTTTTTGCAGTGTAGACTTCCCTTTAAGAAACATATATTTATTTATTTTTTTTCCACAGGAAGACAAAAATTTGTTATGTACTTACTCTTATTGTTCTAACCAAGTATTATTTTTCATCTTCCATTAAACATTATTGTTTACAAATCCATTATCCTCGTTTCACAGACAGTTCAATTAGGACATTTATGTAACTTTTATAAAAGTTCCTTAGAAAACAACATTACTGGTGTCCATCTTGAAACAATGACAATGGCACTAACATATTTTAAGATTTGTCTGTGCAAGTTGTTTTCAGTTAAATCAGCTCAAACAGGTATTTTATTCGGGGAATAGACCTAAGCCTTGCCTGTGAAACTGGGAAGAAATGATAATTGTCTTCAGACAGACAGTTAGACAGTGGATAGTGATTCATATTTAAAAAAAAGAAGAAAACCAATACACAACAAAAGTAGTCCACATGACTCATGAGCATGTTCTAGGTCTTCTGAAGCCATTGTTTGAGTAATAGACCAACAATTTAAGCATTTATTCATGGGTTATCTTCTATTCCAAATTTTTAAAATCTCATTCATGCTTTTTTTTAATTAGAAGAAAACGTCACCTTTCAGATGCACTGTGCTTGGTTTGATGTCACGAAGCCAAAACAGGACTGGTTCTTAAGTCACGTGATCAATCATACCAGGGCAAGTTTGGGAAAAAAAAACACAACTGAGAGTTGATCTACAATATCCCTGTATAATGTTTCTATGAGCCTGTCTGCCAAGGTGATAAGGTGATACGAATTACTGTCATATAAAACAGAGAAAGTGCAAAACTAGCATTTACAGCAAATAAAATATTCACCCCACTTTATTGCCTTGTAGTGAGACTATTATATTTGCTTAAGGTTTAGGCAAGAAGCACTGGATTGTTTGGGTAAGTAGGAGGTAAAGCATTTGGTTTAATTCGCACAGATTAAAGGTGCTGTAAGCAGTAGCCATTCTGTAACTTCTGCTGATTTAACCCCAATAAGCCCACCCTGTTATACCATAGAGACCATTGTAATCAGAGATCAGAAAGCAGAACAGTAGCATATATCATTTTCCAAGATGTCAAAACTAAACTGTAGCAAAATAATAGTTCTTGAATGACAAACTAACACCTGTTAATTGCCTATGAAACTGGATATGGTGCTTAGCTTGAATTAATCAACTACAACTACCACACTCATAAACACCCCCTTCTCATTTATGGGCTGTCCTATGAATGCACAAAGTGACTAACAGGCAAAAAATTGCTAAAGAAAGAATCTGACTGTGGTCAATTATTTGGATTTTACAGAATTTATGGCTGCCACAGAAACAGATGTGATAGTTTAAGAAGCATAAATTCAGTGAGAGCTGTCAAGTCAGGAATATTTTCTGAGTGCCATTCTAAAAGAACAAAATCACTTACTGCATCTTTAAGGGATACACATGGCCGACATCCTAATATTTTTAATTATGTGTTCAATCTAAAAGGAGAAAAGCTTTTGGAGGTCTGTACAAGTGATGTTGTATTCTTAAGTTTCGAGCATCTCCTGACATCTCAAAATCTTCTGTGACGTTATGTTTCTCTCTTTAAATTTGTGAATTCCGCCCACTAGAACATTCACCCTTTTAAGACCATTCGGTTAATTGTGAAAACATTCATTCTCTATGACCTCATATCTCTGTGGCTACAACTTTATCAAAGTTCAGGTCCGAGCTATGGCTGTCTATGTCCATCTCTGTCCGGCTATCCATCTCAGCCGTTAGCTCCTTCAGAATCTTCTCCAGGTCCTTGTTCTTTCTGTACATCTGCAAATAATTGTACTGCAACTGCTTTTGGTATTTGATTACTTTGTCTTTCTCTTTGTTCCAAGTTTGTCTCTCTTGCTGGAAGCTATTCATCATCTTATGTTTCTTTTGCTTCTCCTCCTTCAGTTCCCCTCTCAGCCTTTCTATTTCCTTGTGTAGGGTATCCAAGCCAGTGGTCCCTCCATTATGATGAAGTATTTTACTGGCACCAGTTCCCTCCTGGGATTTTGATTTGTCTTGACTAGCACCAAAGGCCTCCATCCGAGCTTGGCTTATCTTAAGTTGCAGCTGTTTCTCCTCAACCTTGGCTCTCATGGTCATTAGCTTCTGTTGCTCCTCTTTGGCCAATGCCAGGTCCTGCTTCATGCCCTTGATGTCTGTTTCCAGCATGTTCACCTTCTCCCTGAGGAGGTCAGCCTCATTCTTCTTTCTTTGAAACTCATTCTTAGATACCTTTTAAAAAAAAAAAAAAAAAAACAGATATCAAAGTAAGTCATATGTAAGTACAGGATGCAGTAGCAATTGCAATCTAATGTCAACGAACACATACCTCGACCTCAGCGCACCGCTGGTGAAGAGCTTCCTCATACCCCTTGATCTTCTGTTCCAGTTCTTCCATCTTGCATTTGGACTCCTTCAGAGAAGCTTTGAGACTGACAATCTCACTGAGTTTGTTCCCAACATCGGCTTGGGAGTCCCTAAGTTGCTGCTTCAGCAGAGAAATCTCACCTGACTTCTGGCACACCTACAAATGAAACATAGGGTGAAAAAAATGCTTAGATGTGATTAGTTTTTTGTAATTTACAATTTAGCTCTTTCCCCTGATTATCCCAATATTTAGAATAGTACTCAATATAGACATACTGTATCAAACCTAGATCACATTCAGTGTATCCATTTGTCACTAAACCACTTATAGACTATATAAGGTCTAATAGACTGACCTCCCACTGAGTCTCTTCTAGTGTAGGTACAAGGTTTCTCTGGCTCTCATAGATTCGAAGTCGGCTTTCTGCAGTGTCCCTGTCACGATTTAGCTGGTCCACTTCCTCCTGCAGACGTTCCTTGTCCTGTTGAAGTTGTATCACCTGAAGTTGCAATAACTGTTGGGCTCTCAAAGCCCTCTGGGACACCTGCAGTTATACACACAAAAGGTGAATAGGGTGCTTGATTAACTATAAAGGTAAGGTACACTTACTGGTTTTGGATTAACACCATACATATTCACATTTCCTTCAAATCTATAAATATTGTAAACAACTTACTTGACGAAGTTTTGTAGAACAGCGTTGTTTCAACCCTTCCATCTCCTCTGCACAGTAGCGTTGCTTCTCCTCAAATAGCTGACATGTGTCTGACTCCTTCTCCTCAAGGCTCGTTTGTAACTCTGCCAGCTCACTTTCACGTTCTAGGAGTTTGTGCTCCAGCTGATGTATTAGTGATTCATTCATTGAAATTGGTGATCGGACACAGCCCCCAGATGCTGATGGTTTTGTTGGATTTTGCTCTGAAATTGTAAATCTGTGTTCAAGAATCTGCTCTTGGTTTCCAGAGAAATCAATCTTTTGCTCCGTGGATGAGACTGTCAGTGCTGCAGCAGTTATTTCTCTGTTCAAACTTATTGCAGCTGCCACACTTTCGCTGAGGACACCAATGGATCTTGTGTTGCCATTTGTAGACTCGCCACTTCTGTTTGTTTCACAAAATCCATCGGCCCAACTGTTTCCATTAGTCCCACTACACATCCTACTAGATCCAGAGTTTCCATTCATTCCAACTACAGCCCCCTGTTGGTTCTGAGATGTTTCCATGTTTTGGCCAAGGCCTCCATGGCGCACCATGTGATTAGTTGAAGTGCTTAGGTTGTCCATCTGGCTGCTGCCACTGGTGCTGTGGGTGGGCAGGCTGGACATAGAGTTCCTTCCAGAGTCAGAGAAGGTACCAGAATTTGTCTCCAACTTGGGGTCCTGAAGATCTTTGAGCCTGTCTATGGGACTAATTCTCTTGCCCAGGATAGTGCTCAAGTTGTTATGAGTCTCCACCAAGGAACTGCTGCTTCGAGGAAGAACAGGTTTAAAGGCGGTCGGCCGAATCAAAGCGTTCTCTACACTCTAAATGAGAGGGGACAAAAAAGAAAAATATCCGATGAGTGTTTTAAAGTGCACAACAATTACAAAGTGCACAACAACCAACTGGCCATTCATGAAGCTCATGTTTAAGGCAGGACACTATCCATCTTAAAACCTATTGATCAGATGCTCTCAAAGTAATTACTCTCATAACTACCAAGACATTACAACAAAACATTTAGCATAAATGATTGATCAACAAGGCAATCTCAACAATACTTCCTTCCTTTCTTTATCTTCTATTTTTCCCAGTCATTTTCTCTTCCATATGGTAGTATGTTTGCCCTGCTAGTTTAGCATTAACTTCCTAACCTAGTAAAACTCGGTTTATTTTCCTAGCTAGATCCTTCATAAATGAGGCTATTCAGGGAAAGAGCAGGTTGCCTGCTTGCAAGTGCCACACTGCCATTGGACCGAATCTCTGGAGAGATCAAGGCATTCTTACCTCGTCAATCTGTGGGTTTAATTAAATGGAGCAGACAATGCTAAGCTCTTAGTGAAAGTGTCAGGGTCTGGTGGGGATTACTTTACATCAACTATATTTGACTGTTGTTTGATTTTGTGTGATAACAATGGCTAGGGGGATGGGCCATCTTTTGGGGTTGGCTGCTTTAATGTGAACTAAGCAGACATTTCGATTTTTACTGCTTTATAAACGGAATTGTTTACGGACATTTATAGGATAGAAATACTTCCTTATTATACAACGATATAACTGAAGAAAATAAACTTTGGAGGATATGTTATTTTGGCAATATAAAATGAACTCTGTAGCCCAAGCCTTGGTTTGTTTGTTTACTTTCTGGCTAACTCCAGTTCTGTTACCTTTTCTAGTTTTCCAGACAGCGGAACTAATTCTGGTGGCCCTCTTCTCCTGTCCACCTCATTGTCCATTTCAGCTGTTCTTCCTTGACAGTCTTCAGCTGTATTAATGTTATGGTGAGCAGCTCTGGGCTTGTTGCTGACCTTGATGTAAAAGAAGTCGTCATTTTTGCCTGAATGATAGCTGACTTTTGAGTTGTTGTTGGTGGCGCAATGGTCCTGAGAGAAGCCATACTTCAGAAGGCCGTCCAAGCTACGGCCTTTTTTCTTAGACTGAAGCCCCTTTTTGAGTTTGTTTTCAGAGGCTTTGCAGTGTTTGCTGTGAAGGCTATGGCCTGATATCAAACTGCTGACACTACCCATGTTTGCTGGGACATCTGGAGAAAGCAGGTGGTGGTCTTGGTGGTGGCAGGTGTGTAATTACAGAATTTTAATGATGGAGGAAGGTCTGATGGGCTCATTGCCTTGTGTGGAGATCCTTCTTATTCCCATTTGGGAAACCTGGTAAAACATGGATTTTAAGAAATGAAGTGAGATGTCTCTTGTTGCCATTAGAGCAATATAGCACCAGGGTCTATGAATAATTTATCTTAATGTTTACTTTACTTAACGTTCACTTGGCAAACAGGTCCTATAAAAACAGGAACTACAGCATGTCTTGCACAATAGGATGCATGGTGCACAATAGGAGTAGACTTATGGCAGTTATCCTGAATATCCTGATTTACAAAATTGAGACCACATTGAACGCATGCTATGAACAAGTAAATAGAATACCCTCCTCTTTGACAAACAAAGCTTGACAATGCTGCAAGCTTGAAATTAGTACTAATAACTAGGTCAAACATCTTTTCATTTTACTTGGTCAGTAGGTCAAAACACCTGCCAATTACTTTTCCCCCTTCTTGTCGGGCTACACACAGTTGAGTATGTTTACATGCACAAGCAAATACCACACCAGGCACAGCAAGCTCACTGTTTGCGGTGCTCGAAATAAAGGCAAAAAATATACATTTTGAATTGGGTTGGGGTTTATTTGAAGGTATCTCTGAAGGGAACTGACTGTGTCCTGAAAAGTTTAAATTCCATTTTCGTTTCCTGTTACCGCCATATAAATTATTGTTTATACGTGCAGTGCTGCTTTGTGTACAGTGGTACCTAAAGATATTGCTGCTGTTCCATAAGCGCCACCTACTGTCAGAGTTTGCCTTTCATCCATTCGGTCATACTGCTTTTTTGTTTTGTGCAGTTGGCTTGTATAGAATCATTTCACAAATCTAAAGTAAGACCATTCAGTTTTTGCTTTAAATCTAGAAATGATAGTATCCAATTAAAAAAAACAACTGCTAATGCGTTGTGTAGGATCTTTGTTTGGATCATAATTAAAATACAGTGGTTGATTCTAATTTGGCCAGTTTGCCTGTTATAGAGCAAATAAACCAGCGCAGTCTCATCCCAAGACGTCATATAATTGACGTCTTGGGACGTCTTTTGACCATACGTCCGCCGTTTTAGGGTACCCTTTAACGTTGGTTAGATGATGTTATCGGATCCTAAACCTACCCCTAAACCTAACTGACGTTAAAGGTAAAGCGTAAGTTGTATGACGTCCCAGGATCGTCATGTAACTGACGTTAAAGGGTACCCTAAAACGGCGTATGTTGACGTATGGTCAAAAGTTATATGACATCATGGGATGAGACTGTGTTAAATAAACAACAAATAAATCTGCTTAAAGAAAAGAAAAATCAGCAACCGGTATCAAATTTTCTTGTAAAAAAATCAGAATCGGAATTGGACATGAAATATTTGCATCTTTTATTTCTTCAGACAATCATTATTTAGAAAAAAAAGCATTGTTACTTGATGAGGTAGCTTATATATATATATATACATATGTATAAGGCTTCATATTTTGGAAATAATATTCCAATAAAGGGAACCCGCCTGGGAGACTGGACCTGTCAGCCACCTCACAACAGTTACAGAGTACCAAAGGTCTGTTTCCAGCTAATCAACCTTCTTTTATGATTCATATGTGCCTAAAGCATATAATACACATCCATAATCAACACATCATGCCTTCCATCTGTCTTTCAGAGCAGATAGCAAGGGGCTTTATGAACAAAAGACCTGCCACCATCGTCACACGTGGCTTTGTATAACTGTCCTGATATGTTAAAGACTTATTAGCTAGAAAGAACAGAGCAAATATGCCAGCTGTTTTTTTTAATTATTAATATCACATTATGAAATCATGCATTACAAAGAAATTGTATCTTTTTATGTTATTTTGTGCTGCCTTGTAGCTGCTTTTAGATAAGAAAATCATATATGCAACCACATACTTGTGTTTGTTGTCTCTCTATATTCCAACCGTAAGTTTCCTTGTTGCATGACATTTCAAAATCAAATATAAAACGGTATAGAGGCATATTAATGACTTCTTAAACACTGATTCAACTGTTTGTACTGGCAGAAGGATGATATTCCAGACAACTCAATTATCATTCATGTGGCTTTATTTAGCATATGCAGTGATTTATATAAGGTTATTTGATACTACTTTTTGGATTAAACATCTGTTTCAGCAGAAGGACTTAATAGCTTCAGGCAGCCCTTTGGCGGTCCCCTCCAATGAAAAGCGACCTCATCAGAGTCTTTGTTTAAGAGCGTAACACATATTTTGTCCTCGAGTCATGCCAACCTATGATGTAATGCTAATACTCTTCTTTTATACAGCTCTGCAAATTAATCATAATGCTTGACATTATCATCAGTTCACACATTCTCACAACACGTAATACACACTTAAAAACAAAAACAACTCCCATAAATCACTGGAACAAACAAACTGTTTTTGCCAATCCACAGAGGGAAGTATTTTTGTTGTGATGAGTTTGCACTTTTCATTTATGAAGATAAATACTTATAAATAATCTATACACACTGCATATTTATATGAACGCATTTTTTTCATTTAAAAGGTACAGCAAAAGTCAAGTCAGACATTGCATTGTGTTTTGACACATGCACATACATCACTTCCCACCATGTGCTGCAGGTAAACAATCTCAGTTGGACCGTCTCAATATCCGTCTGGCTTTAGTAACCCAAAAATCACCTCTTATTACTCCGTGATTATGTTCAAGTTCAAAGGCTTACCAGAATAAAATAGATGACATAATGACACTTACTCTTCGAACAAATAAATCCACAGACACCGCGTTGTCAAATCTGAATCAAATCTCCTTTGCATGCTCTCCGTGGTGAGTAAGAATGTGTTTGTCCTTGAGTGAACCACTGAATACTATATAGACTGCCTGTAGACAAAAGTCTACCACGCACAGTGGGCGGATCTTATCACCACAGAGTTTTTTTCCCCTCCATATCTTTTTTTGGAATTACCAACATGTAAATGTTGCTGGGAGACGGGACCCCAGTGTCCCCTGGGGTCCCCTGGGGGAAAGAGGGGGCAGAGACCATTACACCTCTTTACATAAGACGTGTGCCGCTAAAGAGATTAACTCACTGCTGCTCACAATGAGCTCCAAGCCCCCCTCTGTCAATTTCACTTTCACTCCCGCTCTTTCTCTGTCATACACACTAACACTAACATAATTAAAATACACAAACAAATATGCAAGTTTAAGCAGCTCTTGTGAATCTCACTGACTCGCTCGTTTAGTATTGGTTATCTTTCACAGTTTGTTTTTTACAAACACACACACACTTTTCCCAGTTGGCTCTCTTTGCTGCCCTCCCCTCCTCTCCAAACTGCCCTGCACCCACTCTGAACAAACACCCCTCCTGGAAAAGAAAGAAGAGCTTGATGTTCCCTCCCTCCGTCTGTGTCTTTGTCCACTGAAGTGTGCCTGTTTTGTGTGAGGTTCAGTGAACTCGAACATTTATTTAAGCTGAGTGCTACATTTACACCATAAAATAAACGACTCTCTAACTACCTCTCAAAAAAGAAGTGTGTGTAAGCTTGTTTCTGCCACAGAATAAAAAAAGGTAATTGCGACCTTTTTATATCACAGTTCCGATTTTTTTCCCCCCTCAGAATTGCCTAATATAAACTCGCAATTGTGAGTTAGAAAGTCAGATTTGCTTGAAATATGTGTTATAAAGCCAGAATAGCAAGATATAAACTGTTATATTCTCACTTTATAACTTGAAATTGTGAGAAAAAAGTCAGAATAGTCAGACTGATCTCATGAAGTAGCTTGTGTATGACACGTCAATTCGTATTTCCATTTTTGGCGTGCTATCAAGACGCATAATCGCTTTTCAGCGTGTTTATGAACGCCGTTGACTTAACGTTATTACTGTATATATAAATATATGACTTACCTCAAACCCGTCCCTAAACCTAACCGTCACTGGGGTTAATGGCATTTATGACTGTTCCCTTACCATCCTAGGAAAAAAAAAGATCACTCCCCAGATGTACGTCTACATTTTGCATTGTTTCGTGCGGACATTTGACGGCGTGTACAGACACGTGGATTCACTTGGACGTTAATGGCATAGACATACACGCAGATACACGCGGATATCTCAAAATGCGTAGAGATAACACGCCACTTGACTCGAAAGTGGCGTGTATGTTTACGAAAAAGTCATGATGTCATGTTGCAATAGTGAGAAAAAGTTGCAATTATCTTTTAAATTGTTTTATTCCATGGCAGAAACTAGCTTCAATAGAAGTGTGTTTCCATAATGTGAAGAGTGTATCTTTTTGTGCAGACGTATTTTCAAAATAATCTTTAATATTCCAAAGCAATTGAGTATTTTAATAACCTCCAAAAGCAGTTGAACATATGTTTAAGTGACCCTCTTGATACTTTCATATTGGGGTAGTCAAACACAAGTGGCCCTTGTAAGCAGTCTAAATACTATTTTTGTTTTGTTTTCCAGAAAGAAATGTATAAATTACTATTAATTAAAATAAAAGTGATTGTTTTAGAGTAAATGTAGTATCTATATCTAAAACAATTCTTATTTGTAATATAAAAGGTAAACAATGTATGAAATATAAAATTCATATCATGTTTTAAGGATGTGTTACTTTTATAAGAATACTCACTTCTGTGTTATTTATAGATTTCTTGTACAAAACAAATTCAATTCAGCACATTCGTTTTTAAGTCCTCTTGCTAGGTCTGCATCTGGATTTTATTTTTGTGACTTTTTAAGAAATTATCATAAGCATTTTCCCCAGCAATTGTTCTAAAGTCGTCACATAACTTTCTGAAAATGATAAAAATATCTAAGAGTTCACTCAAAATGTCATAACCACTGCACAGCTATTGCTCTTCACCAAAGTTTTTGCATCTGTGTACATTCACCTAAAGCGCAAATTCAGCACTGCAGGGACCAGAACAAAGAAGGCAGACTTTCAGATAATCAATCTGACTGTGAAACTCTATCCCAACTCTGCGGATGCATCCCTTTTGTCCAAAACACCAAGGCTGGAGGAGTTGCGTTGTTTGGAGGGA